ACATAATAAGAAATTGAGAACTTTTGGCAAAAAGATATTAAACTGATGATATATTGACAAAAATGCTTTATGTTCTCAGCTAAACCTTAAGAAAAATGATCAAGAAATATAATTCATTCTATAATACATCATAATATTATAGAAAAAACACTAAAAAGCAAAGATTTCTAAACTTCCATAAACACATATACGCTTCAATACCTTCTATTTCTCCTACATTCTATTTCTCAGCGCTTAGAACAAAACATTCTCAAATATTTTACAGAATTGCAACATGTAACTGTTATACAAAAAGCAACAAAATTGTTCTTACCTTCTAAAGTTTTCGTCATATACGTATCTTTGTCGAGCGCCCAATCCACGGCCACTTTGCGCGATTTGAACTGAGTAAAATTGAGTTGTTCTTTAGCCTCCGCGGCTTCTTTCCTCCCAGAGTATTGAACAAAACAAAAGCCGGCACAAGAGTCCGGAAATTTTTTGTCCTTGCATTTCGGCAGTCGCAACTCCTTTATTCGGCCAAATTTGGAGGCCAATTCTGTGACCTCTTCTTCTTTCGTCTAAAATTTTCGGCTCAGTATACGACCTATTAACCCTTCATTTCCCAGTGTATCCCATTAGATACGCAAAATTTGGAGTAATTTTGCGCCAATTTTTATATTATTTGTTTTTTTGTCTCACTCAGTTATTTATCTATCTCAAATTCCATATCTTTGTAAAAAAATTCCAGTGTTCAGTTTTAGCTAAGCATGTTATAATAAGCTAGTTTGAAAAAGCAAGTTGAGTTGGATCCTCACATATTTAAATCCAAGACCATTAGTTATATTTATTGTTAAAATATTTTGTTAATCTCTCATTTAGCTAGACATACTCAATTTGCTTTAAAATGCTAAAAGTTGCTGTACAATTCAAGGATAGAATATTTCGGAAAATTATTCTTGTATATTCTAAATCTTGAAATTTATTTACAGGTATGACTGATTATTTAAGACTTGATTTGACGAGTTAAGTCTAAAATAAATATCCACACATGGTGCCAAGCTATAGAAGCGCTAGCTTTTCTCATCATCATAAATATGATGCTATAATTCCTCCATACTATTATTATCCTACCAATATTATTATATTATAGGATTAGACTCTATGATTTCATTTTCAGATGATAATAACTTTAACTAAAGTAAAATTTTTCTGGGAACTTACATCGAACGGCAAATTTCGGATAATGAGACGCCAGCTCTTAATGCCAGGACCTCGATGGTTGATATTCCAATCCATATTTGCTTCTAAAATGAAAGTTTAGTCTGACAATATAGTCTATCCTAGATATAACGGGGTGTCCATGAAGGGCCATAACGAGGGAATATATATGCATAGTAAATTTCAGTTTTGTTCTCAGTGGCAAACTAAAGTTGAATCTTATCCACGGTCCACTATGGAGAGTATAAAACAAGGGCCGGCTGTACATCCTTATAGTAAGTTAGTGACGTCCGTGGATCCATCCGTGTGCCGGACGTTTATTCGAATTTGAATTCCCGCCTTTTGGTATTCTGTATTTTTTGGTGTTCGTTACGGTTTTTTCAGGAGGTGCGTTCTATATAGTGCTTATTTCAGACTGAGTCTGAGTCTCAGACTGAGTCTTAGACAAAATTTTATACAAAATTTAGCTAAAATGTACCTAATTTTCGTGTCCGTCACGGTTTTTTCAGGAGGGGCATTCTATCCAGTGCTTATTTTTCGTGTCTGTCACGGTTTTTCAGAAGGGCCATTCTATCCAGTGCTTATTTTTCGTGTCCGTCACGGTCTTCTCTCAGACTGAGCCAAACTTAGACTGAGCCAAACTCAGACTGAGTCTGAGTTTGCGAGCCACCGCAGGTGGCGAGCCAATCCTGTGGTCGGGCGCGGAGCGCCCGACCTTCCCCCCTGGAATATGAGTGAAGTTAGAACAGAAAAGGCATACTGATATAGAAAAGGTATACTGATATAGAAAAGGAATACTGATATAGAAAGGGCATACTGATATAGACTCCCCGCGCGCTGGCGCGCGTTAGCGCGCTAGTTAAATGCAAGAACTGATGTGATTTAACAACGCAGAATTTTTCGCCTAAACACATTCAAAATCATACATAGGCGCATGTCAAATGTTTCGCGGGAATTTAAATATGAGTTTTGGAAAAGAAAATCGCAGGCTCGGTGTAATCAATCAGAGACACAAACTAAAATTTCAAGTAAGTTACAAAACTCATTTTAATGGAATTTATATAACAATACATACCGTAAACAATCTAATTTAACCCCGGAGCTAAAATATTATACCTACGCCTGAGGAAGTTAAGTTAGAGAGATTAAATGACCTTACAAAACTTGATGAGAAATATATTTTTAGAGTATTTTTCGCAATGTTGGCCGTAAATTTGATAACGATGAATTTTTGTCTCCATCAAAATGGTTTATTAAAATTTTGTCATTTTTGGATGTTTTCAACACAAAATAGCATTTTCGCATCTCTCCAAACTTGATGCATGGCCCACCGTTTGATGGAAAATTCAGATAAAGGTCTTAGTGGCTGCTAATTCGCCCAAGTGGAGTGTCAACGCTAAAAATTTAGGGATAAAAATTATTTTTCCTGAGAAAAACATGGCGCGCAGTGGGAAACTGGAGGATAAATGATGGTGCATCAATCTGCCTCCCTAATAAAAAATGGCCATAACTCTCGAAGTAACGGTTGTTCGCCTAAGCCCCTTGTTAGCCTAAGGGTGTAATTGCACGCCTAAAGGTGTTTGATCGCACAGCTTTTGGGGCCAAACCTAAGCTTAAGCTGAAGTTCAAGCTTAATCTTGGAGCCTTATGCAATGTCTAGCTTAACTTGTTCGCCTAAAGCCTAGGAAAAAGGATTTTCGATGTTACAGATTTGGGGTTGCGTGTTACAGATTTGTTTTTTTTGTAACAGATCTGATGTAACAGATTTGGGTTTATTTTGTAACAGATTTGGTTTTTTCTGTAACAGATCTTATTTTTGATCCATATGTTTACCACGTACCACTTGTATGATCGGATATGATATCAGATGCCAGCTTGCATGTTACAGAATCGCCTTATTAGATTATATAGAAGATAAATATCTTCTATTGAGGCTGATTGCACTAGAAAATCAGCCTAAAACTGCACTAATGCCTAAGCTTAAGCATAAGATTAAGTCAGTATTGGGCGTGCACAGCGGGGCCCCAAGCCTAAAGGCTTAGGCTTACTTCCTTTTTGCTTTAACTCCTAATGTTTTACTCACCAAAATCACTCTCGTTTGTCAAATGGATTTCTTCCTGTCTCTCTTTTTTAATAAGTAGTATTACAAAATAGGTTTTACTAGCTCGCTATAAAGCGAAAATTATTTGTTTGGCGCCTTACAAGGGTTGTTTTAGCCTAAAATAGCGGAAAAGCTATTTCTAATGGTTAAGCATATATGATTAAGCATTAGAAGATCAAAATTTTCCCTCGAATAGGGTCATTAGAAGATGTTTTTTTCTGCTGTAGCAGATTTTGCACGTGGGATCTTGTAATATGGTTTTACGGTAAACCCACAACCAAAGGTAAAACTTTTACCTTTGGTTGTGGGTTTTCAGCGGAAAAGGAAAAGATGGTTAAACTGGCATTTTTAGTAGAAAATGAAATATTACAGAAGAAAAGTCTCCATTTGATAAAGGAATGACATATCTTCGACAAATATACCAAACATTTTAAATTTTTCGCCAACGAAAAAAATCGATCTGTTACAGAAAAAACCCAAATCTGTAACATCGGGAAATCTGTAACATCGGGAAATCTGTAACAAAAAAAACCAAATCTGTTACAATCGAATCTGTTACGAAAAAACCCAAATCTGTTACATTCCGGAAATCTGTTACAAAAAAACCCAAATCTGTTACACCAAAAACCTTTACGTGAAAAATCTATGCCTAGTGACAAATATTTTTTTTTCAACCTGAAATTTTTACCCTTTGTTTGCATTTTAATCTCATTCTCGATGACAATCTAATGTTCGCCTCTTAGAAAAACTTTTCCGGTGTCCCGACTCATTTTGTTTAATTTCAAATAAACGAAATCGTCGAATCGACCGCGTCGCAATTTTATCACCAAACTATCACCACCACCGCATTCCCATTCTCACCAACTAAACTCTCATCAACCATAAACTTTTAACATTACGCGACCCCTCACATCAAATAGTCCTGTCTGCTACCGCAGCCGCTCCTTCCTCAGATATTTTTCCTTAACGCGCCCCCACACAGCATAGCGCTGACGTAGTCACCGCAATTATCACAGTTTAGGTGCTATTAGCCTTCTAGAACATTTTTATCCCAACAAATTACAAAATGTTCTCGGATTTTTGCTAATTTTCAATTTTTGACAATTGACGTACATGTAGGAGGCAGACTTAGGGCACAATAACGATTGATCTGATGAAGATACTGACTAAATTCGACCCATTTTACTATTTTCGGGGAAATTTTCACTGTGTTATACATAAATCTGGTATGCCTGCCTCTACTTCAACTTTTTGTCAATTTATCGATCGTTTTCAAAAATTGTTCAATTCGCGCCAAAAGCAATCGAAATACCAATTTCATCAAGATTTGATAACAAATTCGGGACTTTCCGATGTAAACTTGATTAAATTGATACTTTTCAACGCGAATTCAAAAATGGCGAAATAAATAGGATTTCGTCGATTAATCTCATTATGACAAAGACCATAAGTATTTCCTATAAGGTCTATGGGCAGTCTTCCAACTTTTAATCTCTTCTTCCACTAAACTTTTCACCAATTTCTACAAAAAAGGCTATTCCTACAAAAAAAAGTGAACAAAATCGACTTCTACGCCGAAAATGGTTGTCAAAAAATTGGTTAAAACGTACATGTTTTTAATATGTGTCTTTACCAAAATGGCCAAAATGTCGCAAAAAATGATCAGGATAATTTGGCCAAGATTGTTTTGAAAAACAAAAAATGACTCCGGCCGGGATCAAACCGGCGACCTTGTGCGTGTGAAGCACACGTGATAATCACTACACCACGGAGCCATATATTCTTTTCTCTTTCTTTCACGTCTATGGGCCCGCCAATTTAGCGATACTAAGCTGTACTAACGTTTGGTATCTTAGAAAAACAAGACACCGTTCTTTATATTGTGAATACATGATCTTGATTTGGGCTTATCAGAAAATGAAAGATACGGGCTCGTCATTGGTCATTATTTCCGAATTAAAGCAAAAAAAAACAAAGTTTCTTCACAATTGTCATTTTGTTTCATTATTGACTCATATACCGTATTCCCTGTTAATTCCGCGCACCCTCTAACTTACTCCCGCCCTGGTTTGATCCCGCTCGGCACCCTTGACATTGAATGAAACTAAATGCATATTCATGTAGATCTCATCGAGTTACTTATGTTTAGCTAGTATAAAAAATATTTCACCCTCGAAAAATCATAAAAAATTGACTTTGAAATTTCAAAATTTCAGATTTTTGGAGGGTTGATTAAATAAATTTTTGCACTCCATTCGGAAATGTTGCAAGTTGTTGCACGATTTTCACATAGCTTTTTTGTTCCGGTTGAGATATTGGCCAGCCAAAGTTGGACCCACCCTCTATCACCTTTGAGCCTGTTCTCAGACCAAGAGTTTCTATAGGCTTTAACCTATAGTTGTAACGTTTTATCCTACAAAATTTTTACCCGAAAATCTCAAAAAAATTTAAACAAGGTGGTAATGTTAAAGGATTACGACCGTTTTTCTCTAACTATTATCTAACAGACAGTGATGCCTGACTAAAATTTATCTGCTTTGATTTTGCCTACCTGCTTGATTTAGACATTTTTGCCTTCTACAACACCTGTCAAATCGCTGTGTAAATGTTCTGTTTTCCCGCCGCAATCATCGCAAACATCACTTCTCTGATTTTGTTATCATTGCGTTACCACTCCCCTAACAGGAGGCTGCCACATCACCTGCGACATTCACCTTCTCTCCTCCTTAGACATTGGTCTTTCTTACCTGCGGCGTCCGTTACCTTTACTACACATTAATGCATGTCTCTCTATTTTGTCCTAAAATGATAGGGGCAGAAACATGTCCCCCAATAGTCGCCCTCCTCCTTCGCCACACCTCCAAAAACGCACGCGCAAATCAAAATCAATTGTCAGTATTTTCGAGCATTATCATCGCCGGCGCACCTGCGAAATTCGATCCTGGTAAAGGCAAAAATTTGCGCTCCGATTTTGACGTTGCTTTCGGAAACAATGATAAAATTGTTTATCCGTTTGTTCCGTGTTGAACATTCCATTCTTAATTTTCTTATAAAATTTTTGTCGTAGATAAATTGTGAAATGCTAAGCTGGAAAGAGGAAGTTCCATTCTAAGACAAAAATGTGCTCTACACCATGCATTGAGACGGACCGGATTTTTACCTGGTCCGGTCTGGTGCCCAACCCGGTGTCCATGCTTACCCATGCTGACTCTAAATGCACAGTTCTATTAGAAACACTCTTCGTCAGAAATCTAACAGTACAATTGATAGTTTGATCGTTCTTGATTCTTCTTATTTGAGGTTTGCTATTGGCACATGATGCATTTTTGTCCCGGGACAAATTTATAAGCTATTTTTGTTATTGGGTCATTTACTTCAAAATGTGATATGGCGATGACGAAACTCGATTTGAATATGCCTCTTTTCGCGCCTTTGGCATACAGTATATGAGGCATTTTGAGGCTTTACAAGGACTCTTGAGTCACTATGACGAAACCCTTGGAGAGTAAATCGACCCCGCTGAGTCCGAATCCGGGACCAGATTTGAACTTTGATCTTTGAGTTTTGAACTTTTTCCTTTAAAATTGGGATTTTTCCATGTTTTTAAGGAAAAAGTTCAAAAATTAAAGATCAAAGTTCAAATCTGATCCCGGATTCGGACTCAGCGGGGTCGATTTACTCTCCAAGGGTTTCATCATAGTGACTCAAGAGTCCTTGTAAAGCCTCAAAATACCTCATATACTGTATGCCAAAGGCGCGAAAATGGGCATATTCAAATCGAATTTCGTCATCGCTGTTTACTTCCAAATCACATTTTGAAGTAAATGACCCAATACTTTTATTGCGTTTTCGCAAAAACGTTTAGAGTGAAGAGAATAAGAGTTAAAGGCGAACATTGAAAATGATCGGTGCGAAAGTGAAATAAGAGTTGGCGCAATTGGCGCAAATTTGAAAATAGTTTTGAAAATAGTAATCAGCTAACTCACGTTTCAGGTGAGTAAACTCCAATTCTGATATTGCTAACCCCTCTAGAATCGTATTTTAGAGGGGGTTAGAAATATCAGAATTGGAGTTTACTCACGTGAAACGTGAGTTAGCTGATTACTATTTTCAAAACTATTTTCAAATTTGCGCCAATTGCGCCAACTCTTATTTCACTTTCGCACCGATCATTTTCAATGTTCGCCTTTAAGCTATACATAAGTAATCACAGGCTTAAGTACAATGGAGGTAACTAGGAAGATATGCTTGAAATTTGAGAAAAGACAAAAAAAAATAGGCAAGCACACTAAAGTGCATTCGGTGATGGAATGTTTCTTTGGTCGACCCAGAAAACCATGCATTCTTGAAATTATTAGGCTACAGGTTATTTCAATAGACAGTTACTCTCCCGAAGGCGCCCTCTATCATGATCCTCTTCCTCCTGGGTTACAGTGACTTGTCTGATTTTCAATGCTTTTTATAAATTTTGAACCGTCAATCGCAGTCTTAAAACGATCACTGTATGTTAAAAATTTTGCTTGAAAAATGCACGATTGATTGATTTCTTAGTAGGAAAACTGTTATCAGTGTATGGAAACCAAGCAATATTTTATGACGGCTTTCTCTTAGTGGAGTGACGCCCACGTCAAGACTTTAAGTACATAGATGATCGATTTTGCATGTAACAGCAACGCGTCTACTTACATAACGCTTCTAGAGGAGGTTAGGCATTCCTTCTCTCGCGACATCCTGTTTGGCATCGGGATGACTAGCGTTTGGCTCTTTTCGGCTTCTAAATTTTATTATGGAGGATATGGTATTATCATTGCTAGTCCTAAACAGATCTTAAGGTTGAACATAAAGATCTTTACTTCCTAAGAGTTAGCTTTGTTCTATCCGAAAACTTACTTTTTAGGTGTATTCTATAGCCCAAAAAAGTGTATTGTATGTATTCTATAGCCCCAAAAAGCACGCATGACAACGGACCGACCTTTTGCCCGGTCCGGTCCGCTCGACCCCCGGTCCGGTCCGGTCCGGTCCGTTTGGTCCGGTCCGGTCTACAAAAGATCAAAAAATTTTTCGCGGCGCTACCTTCGGTAACGCCGAAATTTTTTTGCATATTAGCAGCTAAATGTGTTTTTAGGGTATTTCGATGCGCTGATTACGAATCTGCATTTGGTTTTTTTCATATCCAGTCGAGAATTTCAATTTTTTGGACTAAAATAACCAATTTTGGCCAAAAATTCGCATTTTTCGCCCAAAACGGCAGTTTTTTATGCGCTACGATGGAACGGATTTGCCTAAAAACGCTCTTTTCCTAACTCCCACACTTCGGATATTGTTTTCTAAGAAATAGAGGTCGAAATTTATTTTCGAAGCCGAATTTCATAAGAGAAAAGAACATACAAACAGCAAAAGAGCGCCGCATGCGAAAATTTTGGAAAAATAGCAAAATGCAATAGAAAATGGAAGGAAAATAGCGCCGCAGGCAAATTTTTTTATAAAAATAGAGTTGTTTGCCAAAAATTTGCATTAAAAATTTTATATATTTCAAAAATTTCAAATTTTTTTCTCGGCGGCGCTCTTCCGGGTGCATTCTTAGGGGTGCTTGTTTAGTTTTGGTCGGTCCGGTTTGGTCCGCCGGACCGGCCACCCCCGGTCCGGTTGTCATGCTTGCCAAAAAGTGCCCAAATCCCAAATTTGGCTATCCCTGAAAAAGTTTAAAACGCAACCTTCTACGGGAAAAGTTTATGGATCTGCGTGTGAATCCAGTTTCGTTTTAGTTCAGATAGTTTTGGCGTTCTTGTGATACTTCACATCATTTGTACACATGTTGTTAGTAAACACAGTACTTGTATTTTGTGCTGGATTTGACCTTCAAAAATTAACAAAACTTAACACTTCTCATATATATTACCTTCGTTATATACCATATTTCCTTCAATAGAGGCCCCCATCCTTTAATATAACCCGCTGGAAAAACAGAGTCCCAGAGCCTTTATTATGAGAAATATGGTGCTATCATTGCTAATTTTAAATAATTCTTATTCAGATAATCGGCGCTGGCATTACAGCTTTAAATTTACCAGAAATCCCGATGTCAAATTTGAGTGCGTGAAAAGTTGCGTGCTGCGGTATGTCCAAAATTTTAATCAAACAGCAATACCACGAGATGATGCCCTCTACATCAACGTCCGCGGTTCCCAACTCAGAGTCGAATGAAGTAAGTCTTCAAGTTCTGTTAGTTCAAAATACTATATTTCGCTCGAACAGAAGTACAATTTCAACTTATCCACGCCTCTGATTTGGCGTTATCTCAGTTGGCAATGTATTTTTCGGAGGAATTTTGATTTCGCTACATCTATCTATCTTCTAATCTCCCTAAGCCGCAAGTGAAGCCCACTTTGCTTGACACAAAAACCAACTTTCTGTGTTCCGCCGATACAGGGGTGTGTGATAGCTCATTTTGTAGGTATTGAGCAGGCAAGACCGAAAATGTAAAAATTAAGGTGCGGAGGTCTCAAAAAGTGGCCATTTTTTGACAAAAAGTGCCATTTTGGTCAAAAATGGTCATTTTTGAACCGAACCATCTGCGGGGCTGATTTTTTGCACCCGGGGGTTTTCAATGGTGCTGAATTCGAATCCGGGGTCAAAAAAAAATGTTCGCGTACCCCCGCGGTACGAAAAAATTTTTTTCGGAAAAAATTTTTTTTGCGCTCAGAACTCGTTTTTCCAGCTGCTTGAGGGCCGAAGGCCCGAAATAGTCTCATGCTGCTCTACTTCCGAACAACCC